GCCCCGGGATGCGAGATGAAGTTGACCGACAGGATGTGCACATGAAGGTGGCTAGGTCATAAGTAGCAAATACGTACAAAAATGTAGGCATGTAGTGAATGTAGCAGCGCAGCGACGACTCGATGCCATCCTCACTCGGTGCGCTCAGCCCATACTTCTCGGTGGCCACTTTGGCCGCGGCTGCTTTGATCTTCTTGAGCAAAGGAATTTGTTCTTTGGTAAGGTCGCGCAAGTTCGTCAGAGATTCGTCCTTGACAATGGCCACCAAATACAAGGAGCTCAAGGTTCGCTGGTCCCATTTGAGGTCCGGAGTAAGCACAAACCCACTCTTGGGGTCGTCGTCGCGGTACAGCACTGACTCGGACTCGGACACACCGTCCAGGATGTTGCGGACCCATTGTGTTTTGGACCTTGGTATGGATTCAATCCAAGGTTCGGTCACCTTTTCGTACAGCTGAGGTGTTTCGATGATCATGCGGCGCTCATGCGCACTGTACTTTTCCACCACCTCGTTTCCGGCAGGGCAGATCAGCGTGAGTTTCGAGTGCGCTCCACCTTGGCTACCATCCTTCTGGTAACCAAGTACCCATGTATACACATCATTCTGGCCGATCGTTTCCAAGCGGGAAAACGCCTCTTGTGGTCCGTGCTTCATCGATTCCACAAATGACTCAGGATAGAATGCACGTTCCAAGAGCAGGACGGCTGGCGCGACCTGGCCGTTGATCTCGCATGCACCTAGCAAATTGATGGTTTTGGCGCGGGGGTCTGGTGAGTGCGTAGCGTACCTTCATTGATCACGCGGTTCAACCGGAAACTGTTCACTACTGCGTCACCCATGGCGCACTGGTTGTAGGTTGCCTCCACATTGTGACGTGTTGGGACCATGGATGTCATGTACGTGACCCAGCTAACCCAGTCGCTCGTTGCCACCCGTGACGCGTGCACTGCTTGTGGGAGAAGCATTTGTGACACTGCCATGCCTGCTCGGAATCACAACACCGTATCGCTTTGTGCTGTTTTGGCCCTTGATTTGGCGGAAAGGCCAGGTCTGGCGTCTGGTGACGTCCTTCCTGTACGGGGGGAACGGAATCTCCCTTTTGCTCAACACCCTGTTTCTCTAGTATGTGATGCTCTAACTCGGTCGAACCTCCTCTGAGCTTGAGAATGGACTGATGGGCGACACGGCAGACTATACGTGGGCGCTGTTCGTGATTAGCTGCATGATTGTGGTACGTGCATGTTTCACACAGGCACTGAATTACCCCCTGCGGAGCCTCATCCTATTCCACGCCTTACTCAATGCACTTACTGTACGTTGGCATGACTGACACAGTACGTGTGGTCCGCGCGGATTCCCGAGGCCCAAGTCTCGTTGATGGGAGCAGTGACGCTGCCCGCCAAATATCTGCCGTACGCCAACCTTTTCATCGATTTGGTCGTTGGCGGCCCGGCTCTGATGCTGGAGGCAGCGACCGGTCTGGCATCTGCATTTGTATGGAACTACATCCGCTATGCGCGCCTTCGCCCGGGTAACTCGCTCGGGCGCCGCGCGAACTTGGATGCGGTGCTCATCAAATACATCCAGCCCTGGCTGGTTACGCCGCCTCGTGTCCGGCGACTGTTGGCGGGTAACACGCGGATGCAATCGAGATCGTACGGTGCAGCGTATACTGCCCGCGCGCCGCAGCCGGGTTCGTCGAGCTGGTGGCCCTCGTCGTGGTGGCCGCTCGGAACACGGGGCCAAACGACCGGCACCGCCGCAGGTACCGCACGGGCCAAGTCGAGCTCGGTACCCGATCGCGACGCGATTCGCGCGGCGACCGAAGCCCGCATGCGCTCGAGTCGTAGGGAGGAAAAACTATAGGGCCTACTTGCACAACACGCCCTGCTGCAGTACGGCAAGTTCTGCACCGAGGGCCCAGCCCAACTCGAAATCGGCAATCTTATTGGCGAGCGTCACCGTGCGGCGGTCATCCAGTTCGTACCCAAGCCGGAACAGCGTGTGCATAAACGTCAGGTCGAGGCAGTAGTCGGGCCGGTTCTTGAGCTCTTCGAGTGCCTCCGGCGAGAACTGCGGGGAGTGGAACGTGGCCCACTGCTCGGGGGGCGAGCAAACACGCTCGGCGAGCGTCTGGAGCTCACCGATGGTGAACGTCGGACCGAGCCCCAGGGGCGAGATACGGTCGTAGAAGTAGGACAATGCCACAATCGCCGCGTTGCTAAACGCCTTCGAAAGCGACGGCTGATATACGCCGGCAAAGGAGCACGGCGCCAAGCGGCACTCAGCGTCCTTATCCATAATTACCTCGATTAGGCGTTGACACGCCTCGAAGCCACCCTGGGTCCCAGAGAAAGTGAGCTTCTTGGTGCTCGTACTTCCAGGGTGCATTACCGTAGCGACTTTCGTGGTGCCGGCCGCATAGCAGGGACTAGGGATCTTGGCATTGTCGACGGTGAGCGCCTCCCAAGGCATAGGGCCGCCGCCTGCCTTCCGGTCGATTTGGAGCGTGTCGGAGTGTGCGAGGAGATGCATAAAGGCCGTCAGTGAATTGACCGACTGCCGCGCCTGCTTCAGGCCATAACCCAGGTAGGAGTTCTGGTAGAGCGTGAACGTCGAGTTCTCAAAGTCGCGCAACTCGTACACGTGCTCACCAGGGTGCATGCCCTGTTTCGGGTCGGGCATGCGTGGCTCAAACACAATCTGTGTGGAGCCGCCGCCCAGGTCGAGCACGGCAGCGGTCTGAGGCGTCGGCGCGCCGGGCGGCCCCTCCGCGCCAATCAGGTTCAGGAGGTAGTTGACCGTGATCCACGCAAATACGCCCTCTTCACGACCATCCATGATCTCCACGCCGCGTCCGTCGCGTTGACCGATGTGGTCTTTGCCGTCAGCAATAGGGAAGGGGTACTGCGTCTCGAAAAGTGTGCGCACGGCACGGATAATCTCTGTGCTCTGCGTCCCTGGAAGCAGGCGAAGCCCCGCAGTTGCCTTGAGAGAAATGGGCGTGCAAGCATGCATCGATTCGGGGATGAGACGCATCGCACCGTCGAGGAGCGGACGCAGAGAGTCGGCCGCACCTTTAGCGTCGGTTTTGTACGATGACAAGCCGGGCTCCAAGTGGTCGAAGAATTCCGACTCGAGCTCGGGTGAGGACTTGCAGTAGTTGAATTTGTATACATGAATGCGGCTCCCGGTGCTCCCTGCATCCATCATGATGGCGTACTGGACCAGGGGACGCTGCTTCCCATGGATATCGTAGACGGGCGGCGCCGTCTCACACCGTGTCGTGAGAGCGCCATCAGGGTGCAGCTCTGGCCGCTTCCGTGTCGATTGGGACAGGTCAAGGTTCCCAGCACCAGCCGCGTGGTGTGTAAACGCATCCACGGGGTGGATCACATCGTGACCCAACTCGATCGCCTTGTCGTGCAACACGGTGGAAATATTAAGATGCAGTTGCATCGGGACGATGACCAGCAGCATCACGAGCACCACCAGGAGCAGCAGCGCCGGCTTGTTGCCGCGCGCTGCGCGTTGTAGACGAGTGAATAAGGACGCGCTCATCACCGCGCCAAGCCCCACTGGCGTCGCAAAATTCCTCGGACCCTCCACGTGGCGGAGCGAAGGGAACCACGCGGCGCCGTTGCGCCGCCACAGGGCACGGTCAACCGCAGGGCGCGCGCTGCGCTCAACACAACACGGCAGATAAATAAGAGGGAAATGAACAGTCCGTAATACTGGACCGAGCGTCTACTAGACATGGTTTATGAGATGGGGGGATTGGCATTGACTGCTGGCGAACGAAACGGCCAAGATAATAATGGGAATAGACCGTGTCATGGCGTCGTGCACCAGCTTCCGATGAGTGAGGTGCAGTGCCGCTGCACTGCAGGCCAAGGCCCCTATCACAAAGACATTAGGGCGACTTTAAAGGATCAAGCACTTGGACTTGCCCCGGCTGCCGCGAGGCTTCTGTATGAGAGCCGCACGCGTGGCATGCTCAAACACTTCCCGGACACCCTCACCAGTCTTGGCACTGCATTCAAGGTAGCGCACAGCACCGATCTTGGACGCAACAGCCATGCCCTCGTCGGGCGTCACCGGGCGCTGGCTCGTCTTGCGCAGCTCCTCAATGATCTTGGGATCACGGCGCAGGTCCTTCTTGCAGCCCACAAGGATGATGGGAAGGTTCTGGCAGAAGTGCAGCACCTCAGAGATCCACTTTTCTTGGACATTGTCCAGACTGTCAGGCGAGTCAACCGCGAAACAAATAAGGATGACGTGGGAGTCAGGGTACGACAGGGGACGGAGACGGTCGTAGTCCTCCTGGCCGGCAGTATCCCAAAGTGCAAGTTCGACGTGGCGACCGTCCACTTCCACATCCGCAACGTAGTTCTCGAACACCGTGGGGACATACACCTGTCACAAACTGGTCAGCATGTGTCCTGCAACAACTCAAGTGAAAACGTACCTCGGGGAAAGTACCCTGTTTGTAGAAATGCAAAGGCACATACACATGTGCCAAACGCGCAGCCGCGAGTGTCAGTATTCATTCCCGTGCCAGATAGTGCAAGGCCAGGACGAGTTTACCCCAGCCTTACTTGCCCATACACACCTTGCTAAACACGATCAGCAGACACGTTTTACCGCAGGCACCATCACCGACAATAACCAACTTCCTGCGGAGTTCAGTCATGATTGTTTCCTAAGATAGGCAGGTGTATGCTGGACACAAGGATAGAGTCAGCACGATCAGCCAGGGCCGATTCGGTGGGTTGGATGAAAGAACGAGATTCTCCTCGGCGGGCAGCGACTGGCCGGGCACTGCAATTGCCACGCGAGCAGACCCAGTGGCTTATTTTACCCAGCCTCCGCAGCCAGTCATGTGCCGGTTAACACTCGACGCCACGCCAGCCGCGTGGGCTGCGCCCCCACGGGCCGACAGGCACGCTTGGTTACCGGGCGCTTATAGATGCTTATGAGGTAAGCCACAACAAGTCGAGTGGCTATAGTATAGTGGTCAGTACGTATCGTTGTGGCTTGCTTGTCAATCACAACAATTCCGATGAGACGCCGGTTCGATTCCGGCTAGCCACAATTTTTGCTCCCGACCACAGCTTTTGTTCAGGGTATGGTCAAGCCCGCAAACCAAGCAGAATGTGGACTAGACCCGTTCCCTTGCTATCAACAGGCCTGCCACGCCGTTGCGTAGACGTCTTTCGTGGCTCTACCGCGCGGTGTTGCGCGTCGTTTCCGAAGGCGGGGTAATGTCACGTGGCCTCGCTCGCGCTGGCGGAACGGGCCGAGCCCAGGTAATAGCACCCTGCACGTCCTTTGTTGCGTGTGATTCGGACTTGCGATTCATTGCCGTTAATTTCCCAACGACATGGTGCGTCGATAAGATTTTGCCTTGGTCGATTATATGCTAACGCATAACAGTCCTCTGGTGTGAAAGTGAACCAGGACTGCCTGGAGCAGTTCCAGGCCCTGAAGCTGGGCAAGAAGATCCGCTACATCATTTACACGCTTTCGCCGGACAACACGGAAATCGTGGTCGCCAAGACCAACGAATCGACGAACTATGATGACTTCCTTGCGGAGCTCCCCGCCGCAGAGTGCCGCTACGCTGTTTACGACTTTGAGTACCAAAAGGGCGATGAGGGCATGCGAAACAAGATTGTGTTTGTGACGTGGTACGTACCTACCGACGGCGGGTGACAAGAACGTGATGATGCTAACCTTGCAGGTCCCCCGATGAGTCGAAGGTGAAGCAGAAGATGCTTTATGCCTCGTCGAAGGACGCGCTCCGTAAGGCACTTGTGGGTATCGCTGCGGAGATCCAAGGCACGGATCTCAGTGAGGTGTCCTACGATGCTGGTACGTTGACATGGACAGGGGACTTATATCCAGTGCTCGAGAAGGTCACTCGCGGTACTTTCTAACCGAGACACTCCGTGGATAGTTACATAAAGTACAAGGATTTCATCAGGACATCGTGGCGCACCCGGGCTCAGCTGCTTTGGCAGCCCCACGAGTCCCACTCCGTAGCGACGTCCGGTGTATGGGATGTCCATTTGCACCGTGCCCCGTGCACGAAGTGTGACCCGAGCCATTTCTGCAGCACGAGAGCCACGACGTTCTTCGCCGCCAGCGTGCTGGTCTCCATCGTGGAAATGAGCCGCTCCATCGCATTCACGTTGTAGAGATTGGTGTCCACCTCAAAGTCGCCCAGCCGGTCGGTCGGCGTGAGCTTGGGGAATGCAGACCAGGCTTTTTCGTGCGTCCAGACCACCTGGCCATTCCCAAAGATCTTATCGAGGGTCTTGGACGGTATGGGTGCCCAGGAAAAGAGCTTCACCACGTACAGTGCATCCCACGTCCGGCCCTGGTACTTGGCATGCTTCAAGCACCGCTGGTACGACAGTGATAAGAAGTCGGGCCCATCTCCGTCGAGGTGCGTCGTGACGATCGTACGGGGCACACTGTCAAAGGTGGGGTCTAAGCCGAAATAGACAGGATCTGGCTGCGGTGCGTTCGTCACCACCAACGTCACATAGAGTCGCTGGTACCGAAAGCCCGGCACGGATTTCTCCGTATTCAGCAGCGTGATGTCGGAGCTGTGCCACGGTGCCGCGATCAGCACCACATCATACACGTCGCTGTGGCCGTCCCGCGTGCCGATGCGCCACTGCGTGATAGGCGCATCTTGTTCGGTCGTCTCGGATTGGATCTTCATGATGCCTGTCACCTCTCCGCTTGCTCCGCGATACACCGTGGCAGTGCTGCGATCTAGCATATGTTCGAAGATCTGTGCATTGCCCCCTTGGACCCCGTTGGGGCCGTTGGTTGCCATTGAAACCAGACCAGCAAAGGCATGGATGTTCTGGATTTCCTGGGCGTAGTTGGCGCGCGTTGCAGCATTGATCAGCTCGTCCATGCATGCTTCTGACACCTTGTTGTCGGCGAAGTAGGCGCGCGCCGATTGCGAGACAAGACCGCGCGCATCAATTTGGTCTGCGAACGCTGCGACGCTCGGCCAAGGATAACCGGCATCCGACGCAGGGTCGTGCAAGAATCGTGGCGAATAGATGCGCTGGAAGGATTTCATGGCCTCTTCGACTCTGCGTCAGCATGTCACGTACAAAGACAGGGCCTTTTGTGGGCCCTTCCCGTAGCGCCAGTACAGTTTCCACTGGCTCCACCGAGATCCGTCGAAATCGTCCACGATGAATTCTTGGCCATCCCATAGCCCCATAGGGCCAAATACCTTGGAACTCGGCCTCGTTTGCCGGAGTCGGAACTTATCTGCCGCGTGGACCAGATTGTGGTTCACATTGGCAAAGATGCTCGCACCAACGTCCACGGGGGGGAGCCGGAGGTCATCGAGCGGGTGTACGGCAAGCACACGTCCGCCCACGCGTTCCTCACGCTCGTACACTGTCACCTGTAGCTCGCTCTGTATTCCCTCCATATCGCAGCCGGGGATGCCACGCTTGGCAAGCTGCCGTTGGGCCGTGCTAAGAAAATACGCGGCACTGGTCCCGGACGGCCCAGCACCAATAATTGCCACCCGCAGCAGTGGCGACGTGTCATTCGATGGGCACTTGGGGATGCGATGTTCTGTTTCTGTCGCATCATCTACAGCAAATGCATGCTGTCGAAGTGAGAGAGCCTGTGTAGATCCGAGCAGCCACAAACCCCACACCCAGAACCAGCCTGGACAGTACATGGTCAGAGCGCATGTCCGTGTGGAGGAGATCGGCAATTGTGCCCAAATTTACGGGCCCAGAGTCGTACGATCTTAGTCAGTGCGCAGGTTAGATCGTTTGGTTGGGAACGATGACTGCCGCACCTGCAAGCCAGATGACGGCCAAAAACGTTCTTGCACCGCGTACCACCGAGGTTGAGTTCGGCGGATTCGCCGGCGCGCTGTTCATCTCGACGACGGTGCCTTTGACAGCGTACTACTTCGCGCTTGGATGCAACGATGTACTGGGATGTGCGTTGTCGCTCCCTGTCAGCAACACGGATGCCTTCGTGGAGTATGTGCGTGAGACCTTGGGCGCTAGCTTTACCGATGGCACGGCATGGGCATTATACACTGGTTGGTACCTCTACTGCGTTCTCGCCTGGTACTTCTTGCCGGGGAAGTGGGTCAAGGGCCTGCCGCTGCGGACGGGCCAACAGCTGGAGTACAAGACAAACGGTAAGTGGTGTGGCTCACACAGCACTGGCTACGGGTCTCGTCGCGCTAGCTGTTGCTGCCGGATACATCACTGTGTACGGACCGGCAAGCTTCACCATCCTGTACGACCATTGGCTCGGCCTTCTGAGTGTCGCACTGATCAACTCCATCGCACAAGCAGTGTACGTGTATGTGGCCTCGTTCTATGGTTACAAGCTTCTTGCGCTTGGCGGAAACACCGGCAATGTCGTGTATGATGTACGTCTCCTCTGTCTCACCGCAGTGGTTCATCGGTCGTGAGCTTAACCCTCGCATTGGTCTATTTGACATCAAGACGTTCAACGAGCTGCGCCCCGGTCTTATACTTTGGGTGCTTGTGGACGCCAGCTGTGCGTGCTGGCAGCATACCCAGTTTGGATATGTGTCCGACAGCATGTGGCTTGTTCTGTTTTTCCACACCTGGTACGTGGTGGACTCCCTGCTGCACGAGGAGACCATCTTCTCCCAGATGGACATCACCACGGACGGGTTTGGCTTCATGTTGAGCGTCGGAGACCTCGTCTGGGTGCCTTTTACATATTCACTCCAAGCGCGCTACCTTGCGTTCGAGCCGGTGCGTCTCGGCACGATCGGCGTGTTGGCGATCCTGGCCGTGCAGCTGGTCGGATACTACATCTTCCGCACGGCCAACGTCGAGAAGAACGATTTCCGACAGGGACACAACCCAAAGAACCTGCAATTCATGACGACCTCAACGGGGCGCAAGCTCCTCATCTCCGGTTGGTGGGGCGTGAGCCGTCACCCGAACTATCTGGGCGATTGGCTCATGGCCTGGGCATGGTGCCTTACCTGTGGGTTTGGATCACCCATACCGTACTTCTATGTCGTGTACTTCGCCATTCTCCTGGTCCACCGCCAGCTGCGTGACGACGAAGCATGCAAGAAGAAATATGGAACCGAGTACGTACACACGCTCGACATACTAACGCACACCCCTCGCGGGCCACAGTTGGGACACTTACGTATGTACCGCTGCCCAAACTGACCACAGTGCAAGCGTGTGCCGTATCGTATCATCCCATACGTATATTAAACGTAGACAAACACACAATGAGCCCGAGATCTGCTTCGCCAGGCCTCGTCGAAAATGCAAGAGCGATGAATTCAGTGGTCTAATGGAAAAAGACAAACACTTAGAGCCGGTCGCGCTTGTACGTCTTGTCGAATTGACCCTGAAGTCGTTAGTCTCCCTGAAGGCACGTACGTTGATGTTGTACAGCTTGTACTGGGTGCCCGGCTCAATCGAGTTCCACGGAGTAGGGTTGTTCTGGGATTAGGACTTTTTGCCACGGTCGCTGCTTACCTTCTTGTCCCAAATCACCTCCGGACCACGGGCAAGGCGAGTCAAGTACCAGCCCGCACCAGCGAGAGCGAAACCGGTAAGGAAGATGATCGGCAGAACCTCAACGGGCGCACTGTTGTTAGCATACTAGTCTTATCGGCACAGTACATACACCTTCTTCCAGCTCGAAACCTTCTTAGCAGCGTCAGAGCCAGCCATGATGTGTATGTACGGCAAATGTGGTTAATACGTCCGTTATAAATCAACGGCCCTTTCCGGACCGGGCCGCGCACACGTGATCACATTGGCTCTCCTCCACATGCACGCGGGGCGCGTCGCGGCTGAGCATGCAGCTTTACCAACTCGGTGTACTCCATGTGATTAACGAACTTTATAGTGACAATTTCCCTAAGAACGAGTGAATAACATTAAACAGTGCCGTTGCGGACAGGTCCGGTAACGACGAAGTCGGTGCCGTTCTGCCCGAAGCACACCAGGTCGTACTTGGAGTCCTTGTACGCGTTCTGGTACTGGTGCTTCCAGAAGTCGTTGAATTTGCAGAGACCGTCC